ATCATAACTCGTTGTGATAATATAATACTTTGATAAATTGTCTGCGTTAAAACTTTTAAACTGTTAAAAGATTACTGCTCAATTAAAAAAAACAAACTGCTTGAACACCCTGTCTAACAGTCGCAATTCGCAAGGATTGCATGTTAACAATATATTTAATCTATTATTTAAAAATAAAAATTTAGTATATAAAATACTGTTGAAATAAAAAAAATTAGATATGTAATAAATTAGCTTAAAATTAACAAATTAACTAAAATTCAACTTAATTAATTAATATATATTAAAAATCAGCTAAAATTTAACTTATTTTATTTATAATCTAATAAATATATATTAAAAATCAGTTAAAATATATTAAAATAAAATAATATTTAGAAGAAAATATAATTGATATTTTGTATTTTAAATTATAAAATTTGTGATAAAAATATTTAATTTATTTTTACAAATGGTATTTTTTTAAATAGATTAATACAGTTGATATTTTCTATAATCACACCTTTTAGAATTAAAAAAAAATAATATAATTATAAAAATACTATATAGTGTAACTAAAGAGAAGATGTATTAATAAATTATTAGTAACTTAGGCTAATGTAAGTATGCTTATAAAAAGATGTAACTATATATAATCATCCCTCTCTATAGTCACCTCCTATATAATAACATTATATAAATGTCTTATTATAAGCACACATTTTGTAAGAATTAATACCTATTAATACTATATAAAAAACCTCCTTTATAATTATAGTGTTTTTTAGTCACATCCTTCTAGAACTAACACTTGATAAAAATATATAAAAATCTCATTGTATAGTAACTTTTTATTATAATCACACTTTTTATTTTTAGTTCTAAAGAGTGTGACTATAAAGGAAGATAATTGTATAGTATAATTATAGAAAAGGTTGACTGTAATTAAATATTTTTATATTTTATCAGATTGAAATTTTGATAATTTATTAATATAAATTGATTTAAAATATAATAAACTAATTTTATATAATCATGACTTTTTAGATAAATTGGTATTATATATTTGATATTTCTTTACTAAAATAATATTAAATATTTAGAAAACTTATTGAATAGAATTATTTATAAAAACAATTTTATTTAGATTATTATAATAAATTATTAAATAATTTTTAATTTAAATTTAATATTTATAACTATTTTTAATAAGTATTAATAAAATTAGTTCTAATTTATTTTAATTTAATATATGATAAAAGTATTATTTCTGATTTACTTTAAGTATTATTTAATGTATAATTAAAGCATTAATTATATTAATAAATTATTTCTGATTTATTTTAAATCTTATATTAATTTAATGTATTCTAATTACTATTTAAATTTATTTTAGTATATAGAAATATTTATATAAATAAGCTTAATATTTTCACTTTTAAAAAATAATTTTAATTTAAACTTTATTTTTTATAATCAATTTTTTTTTTTTACATATTACTAAAATACTAATAAAAAATTAAATAAAAAAAAAACTAAAATTTAAGTTGAATTTTATTAATTCATCAGTTAACTTTTCAAATAATAACATTTATTTTAATTTTTATAATAGAAATAAAATTACAAAAATATCTTTATTTATTAAAATCAAATGAAGAAAATGCTAAAATTTAAATTAAATTTATTAATCAATCAGTCATTTTTCAAATAATAAACTAATTTTTACTTTTCTATAATAGAAAAAAATAAATTTAAGTTGATTTAGTAAGAAAAAGTAAAATTTTTTTTATTTTTTATTTTAAATTATTATTTTATTTTATATAATTTTTATAATTTTTTATTTTTTTATTTTATTTTTTACTTTAATAATAATTAGCTACCTCTTCAAGTATTTTGTAAACAAATTTACTTATAATTTTATTTAATAATTAAAATTATTTATAATAATTTCTTTAAAAATTAAATATTTTTATAATAAAATTTTATGATATAAATTATTTTATTAATTTATTTTCTATTTATTTTCTTTTATTTTAATTATTATATAAATTTTCTTATAAATAAATATATTTTGAAATTAAAAATTACTTTAAAGATTATATTATATATTTATTAAAGTAAATTTCTGTTTAAGTTATAAATAAAGATTATATTATTATAAAAAAATTTTATTTTAATTATTATTTATATATTATATCTACTTATTGTAGTTTATAAGCATCTATATTAATAGTAAATAATTTTTATAATTTTATATTTATATTATATAAATTATAAAAAAGAAGTAATCTTTATAATTATACATATTATTTATATTATTTATATAACAATTTATATAATTATATTTATTTTTAATTTTATTTAAAAAGAATTATAATATTATAATAAAGTAATTTTTTATTTAAATTTAACTTTAAAATAATTGATTTATTTAATAAAATGATTTTTAATAAATGATTTTTAATTATAGATACTTATTAAAACATTTTTTAAATAATTTTATTATATTTTATTATTATATTTTTAATATAATTTTAACAGTATTATATTAAATAAATTTTATTAATTATATAATTTTAGCTAAATTTCAATTATTATTAAGAGATTTTGTTTTTTAAATCTTTTTAAAATTAACTAAAAAATTTTTTTATTTTAATAATCTTTATTTTTAAATAAGAGATTATTTATTGATACTAAAAATTTTTAATATTTAATAAATTTAAAGTTTTGAAAAAGTATTATATAAATGCAATTTATGATGCTTCTAATATTATTATAATAAAATTAAAAAAATAATAGTATTTTTTATATTTATTTATATTATATATATAATTTGTTAATTATTTATAAAATATAAATTTTTATAATTTAAGTAATTTACTGATTATAATGATTAATCAGATATTTGCAATTATAAATAATTAATATAAAATTTGTAAATTTTTTATTTTTTATAAATATATAATTAATATCTGATACTTATTAACTTTTTATTATTTTAAAACCATTTTAACCAATTTTATGTTTTAAATTTAATTAAGTTATACCAATTTGTTATATAATTTGACTTTTTACAAAAATTAATTTAACTAAGATTTAGTATTTTAAATCATTTTATATAGGTTTTTGTAAGATATATCTATCAAAATTTTTCAAGATAAGTTAATATTACTAATAAAAATATGGTTTATAAAATCATCTAAATATTGATTATATAGTACTTTATTATTCATGTTTTTTCTTTACTAACATATTATATAAATATAAAAATAAATTATATTTTAATATTATTCAATATTTTAAATTATAATATAAATATAAAAATAAAATTCCCGACTTTTTATTTAAGTTAATCATCTTTAGAATATTAAATTTTAGTAATTTAAAATTGTTATTTTTTTTTTTTTTATTCCTATTTATTTATTTATTTATGTTTTGATATCTGACTAATTTTAAAATTACGCATTTATGATCATCATTATTTTATTTACCAAATTATAATATTTGTAATATTTGACAGTAATTAATGTTATTCGCCACTTTCGTGACGTATAACCAACTATTTAATTAGGTAAAACATAACTTACAAATATCTTCAAACCGAGTTTATAAAGTTGGATACCCATAAATGGTGAGATTTTATTCCTTTATCTTGAAATTTTTACATGCTGACTTTAATTATAAGTTATTGTGCTTGTCATTAATAAATCAAAATTATTTATCAACAACGTAAAGCACAATAGCGATATTATCATGTGATTTTATGATGAAGTTCCTTATCTAGATTCTTTTAAAAAAAAAAAATAGAACCTCTTTTTAAGAACCACGAAAAAAAGGTACTTTTTTTTGTATTATAAGCTGAATTATATGGGACCTTTGCAATAGAACGGGGAAACTGCCGGGAAAAATGAAAAAATGCAATTTTACTTTTATATGCCAAATATGATTTTTAGGTCAAAATATGTTGTAGATTTAGCATTGACTCATTTTTTATTTTTTTCCAGTCGTTTCCCCCTTTTTCTATTGCAATGGTCCCATATAATTAACAAAATTTTTATTTTTAGGTGAATTATACTTTTGTAAAACATACTAGAAAAGAAAACTATATTCATAGAAATCGAATTGCTTTATTCAATAAAACAGCAAAGATTTAATGTCTCCTCAATTAACAATTATATGCTAAAAAACTATATTTCAAGTTCAAGATATGCCATCTTCGATTGTTTTAGATGAAAGAATACAAAAGATCCCTTTTGTCAATCACACTCAGATACTAAATGATATTCAACAAGGATTAATTTCAAAATTACATCTGATAAAATATTAATTAATTCTGTAGGTGTTTTATACCGCATAATTGAATTAATATCGCAAAAAGTGAAAAAAAATAAATTATCTAAGAAAAAAAACAATGAAAGCCCGGATAAAAGTTCTAAAAGTAAGCTTTTACAGTTAGCACAATATTCAATAATTACTATGTTTAAACATAATAATGAAAATAGAAAATTGAAACAAGTTACTGAAATTAATGAATGATATAAAATAAGGTACTATTAAAATTTTAATTTTCATATAAACTCCAAAAACAAGATAGCACGATAATTTATATTATCGTTATTTATTCATTAAACAGGCCTTCACAATTAATAACACCAATTCCTATATAAAATAAAATATTATATAAAATTATTATAAAACTATATTATTTATATTAATTAATTTTAGTAAACATCGTATAATAAAAATTGCATGATTACACACGGATTTACAATGAATCATTTAATCCCTTGTTTAAAATATATAGAATTGTAGTGATATACATTTATTTTTTCTTTCTAAAATGATTTGAATTTAACATTAAGGGACTATTTCATTAATCGATTTAGCATAATGCTATTGATAATAAATTAGTTATTGAATTCCTATAATCGGTACGATTGTCAAAAATTCGGAGTTTGTTCAACATGAAATAGTTATTGTCGTTCTTCTTTATTTCTTCTTTATGGTTTATTTAGGAAAAGATGACATGTCGGGTTTTTATGAACTGTTGTGGTAATCTTGTAAGAAGATTTGGTCAATTAATAGAAAACATTAATTGTAACGTATTGACGGAGGGTTATAGTGACGCTATTTATTATTTATTATTTATTATTTAGTATTATTATTATGAGGGAGATATTACGAACGTTGAATCGATCAATCTTATTTTAGACACGACTCTTTGGGTGTTTGAGCTTTGGATTGCGTCTTTACCACCAATGGGAGTTGCAAACGTACAGTTATCTTTTGTGACAAATCAAAAAGGTCATGAGCAGGTGACCAAAATAAGGTAAAACCGGCTAGTCACAAAGACAGCTATTGTTCTCCGACTAACAACGGAAACAGCCCACAGGACCAAAAAGGAAACGAAAGAAGGTAGCCTTCATAACTGTAGATGGCAACACCCGTGCCGCAACACCCCATGATGCTTCAGGTTTGGTGAAGTAATTGAGGATATAGCACGTAGAATTGAGAACTTTCCAAGTAAAAAAAAAAACTGTTCCGATGTCCAACCGTCGAGTCGAAATAGGGTGACATTAGGCGTTACTCGAAATTTACGCAAGTCAACGTGGGGGGTACCAAAAACACAGAGCAAAGTTCGATAATACTCTCAGGAAATGAGAAATGAGAAATGACACGGTCACACATCAATTATCGAATGATTTTAAGGTGCCCTTTTTTTTTTATTTAGAAATTCATTAGCGCATCACGCATTAACATAAAAAAAATAAAAAAAATCGAACGAGAAATAAACGTTTGCTGCGCCCCAAGCCACCGTCAAAGAAATGTACTTGATGATAAATATTTGATATTTGATAAATAAAAAATCGCAATCGAGTGGTTCTACACGATATTTCGTAAAATAAATAATGCAAATAACGCAACCTCCTTATGCTGGACTCAAAATCATCGACGAATTATTGGTCGTCTTTGCATCTCACAAACTTTAATCAATAATAACATATTATTTTTTCCCCAAGAAAATATATTGAAATATAAAATAATAATTATGTCACCTGCATAATCTATAAACCAGACCAATTAGTAAATGGTGACTAAACCAAATTCGAACAAATCTTTTTTTAGATAGGTTATTCGGGATTAATTTTTTTCTAAAAGAAATGAAATACAAGTGAACTTATTTGTTTTGTCATACAATAAAGGTTGCCTTATGTTTATTATTACCAAATTCAAATTCAAAAGAAAAAAAAAAGGGTTAATGCAATGAAATATTCCCAACCGTTAGGAGTTTCAAACTTTATTTTAAAAAGATTCGGATTGTCAAAAAATTTCCCTCAAAATATGGAGTAAAATGGATTAGAAAGGAAATGTGTTGATTGGTTATACTAATTTAGACCGTAATTTAATATTAACAATACAAAAAAAATTATTGTTTGTGGCAGGGGAACATGAAAATTTCTCAAACTAGCGTCAATGATATCACACAAATATAATTGAGTTGCATTAGGGTTTCTTTATTTTGTATAAGATTTTTTGTTACTCTTCACACAAGTTTCATCACGTCACACCAGACTTCTAGAAAATTTATTTGGCGTTTAACTATCGGGCAATTTCGCTTATTTATCGGGTGTAAAAAAAAGGCATACAATGCATACAAGCTCATCCTTCCTTCATTTATACTTCAAATTAATTATTGATTATAAATATCTCACTTTTTTTTTATTTTTCTCTTCATTACAATTATTTTTCTCCTCCCCCATCATCTTTCTTCCTCTCCAATTCCAACTCACTAAATAGTGAATAAAAGGAGGCAAAATCATTTTTTTTTTATTAAAAAAAAAAAAATTCTCACGTCATATTTTGTAACTTTTGACAAGTACAGAATATATATAGTTTTGAAAGATTTTTGAGAAATTTTTCTAACTTTTTTTTTCGGAACAAGAAAAAAGAAAGAAAAAAAAAAACTTTTTTTTTTAAAAAAATTACTTCATTTTGCCCTATTCTTTTTTCTACCTCTCTTTCGATTTATCTTCCAACTCTTTTTCTTTACATAATAATAATGATCTCCAAAATCTCGTACATTTTTGTTTTGTTCGTTCTCGTCTGCTTATCTGGTACGTAATTCAGTTCTTTTTCCTTTTTTAAAAAAAGAAAAAATTATTTTATTTATTTATATATATTTTGTATGATATAGCAATGTCCTCTGCAATACCAATAACGGACGTATCATCCACTAAAATGGCCATAACCGAGACACAAACTTCAAATTCGGAACGTTTTGCTGTTGCCGTACAACGTGTTGATGACCTCGTGGATGATAATGGTAAATTGCTCGCCGAAAGGATTGAAGCTGTTATCATGAGTTTTGAAATAAAAGACGATCAATTGTTGGTCAACAATGTCCCCGTTGAATTAAATGTAGACTCCGTTCAGGTTTGTTCCTTTCTTTTCATTGTTTTTACAAGCTCATTGCTTTTTATGCTGCGTCAGAATCTAACCTTCCCCCGTTACTTCATTTAGGTCATAGAAGCACAAATCGTTCCGGCTAATATCAATGCAAAACAATTGGAACAATACAATGACAACTTTGACATCGGTCTCGTCACCGTTCAGGTCTTACCAGTTGCTGAATCTTTAAAAACTGATGATGAAGGTGTTGCACTTCGTCGTATCACAATAACCGTCCGTGTTATAGAAATTGACGGTGTTGATGTTGTTACTCAAGATGCCGTCGAGAAAGTTTTGGAATTCAAATTATTGGAAATCGCAGACGGAGACCAAGACGTCCTTGTTCCTTTCTATCCTGAAGATGATTTAACTTCAGCCAAGAAAGATAAAATGGCTGAAATTCAAAATAAAATCACGTGTGCTTTCCGTTCCTTCGCCGCCCGCGTTCGTCACTGGTGGCGTTGTTCCTCACGTTTCACTCGTATCATACTTGCATCTCTCTTCCTTACCGCCTTATTCGGTGTGATCTTTATGGCCATTCCAGCTGCTGTACAAGCTTTAATTGTACTTGTACGTCATCGTTATTCATCATCCCCTTATATTGCTGTCGCTGTTCATGATGATGAGCCTCTAGATGAGCAGGTTATCTTTATCACTGATGAGGAAAAACGTGCCTTGTTGGAACAAGAAAAGGAACTTGTCCAGTAAAATATTCTCACTATACTTCAAAAAATTCCCTTACTTTTTTTTAAAAAAAAATTCCATCATTTCCGACTTTTCATTAACATCATGATCATACGTTTCCTTGCCAAAACAAAATTTCTCATCTCAAATTTTCATTTCTTTTTTCTTTTGGTTTGTAAGTTATATACAAATGAACCAATCTTAAAAGTATTATTGTAATTATATATATATATATATGAAGTGTGGATGTTTTTGATCTATGATTTTATAATTTAATACGAAAAAAAAAAAAAAATCAAAAGCGAAAAGGATCCTCTTTGCTAGAATATGTTGTGTGATCTAATTTTTATCGTGTTCCTCTATGATAATAGAGGGTACTTACCATCATATAGCTGCGTCAATGCCCTCCACCAAACTTTCTTGCCATTTACAGATGTATATTTCTTCGACCAACCATAACAGACTCCCACTTTATATATATGTATATCACAAAAAAAATCTAGTCCATGAAAGATACAAATTTGTCTCCCTAGGAAGAGGCTTTTAAGAAAAAAAAAAAAAAAATAGACGATCGTACAATGTATTTTATAGATTTTTTGTGCATTATTTTTGAGGAAGAAATCCTTTTTTTTTTAAAAAAAAAAATCCGACTTATTTACTCTGCTCGCGAATTATTCGTATTTACGATTAATTTGCCTTACCTCATCCTTTTCGTTTTAACATCCCCACTACCCTACTTGTAAATTATTTCTTTTATCTTTATTTCTTTTTTTTTTAATCCCCCAATAAAATTAAAGACCTTGTAGAAATATTAATTTTTACATTTCTAACGAAATGTTAAAGTTTCGACGATCACAATCCATTACATTTATATTGTCCAAGTATATGTGTACCATATGGAAGAGATTTTGGAAGAATATTCAACAACATTCTTAAATTTCATCCCTTCTCGCTACCATTACTTTCGATTCATCACATCTCACCATTACTAGACTTTTTCTTTTCCTTACTTTTACCATTTCCGTATGAATTTCCTTAATTTCACCTTTGATTACTATACATTCAATTACTTGTATGGATTATGATCTTCCAAATTTTAGTTTTCGCGTGGAAAATTGTTCATTTATTTTTCACTTCAAAAGGATATGTTTTGTTTGGGAGATATTTCTCTTTTTTTTTTCACTCTTGCTAATAAAATAAAAATGACCTATGGTTAAAAATTCAAATTTTGTTTCTTGCACATCTTTGATTTGTTAAATTGTTAATACACGAACGAATTAACAAAAAAGAAAATTCGCAAAAGCGTGGTAATTAATGATCTTTTCATGATTCTCTTGATTGCATACACTATGTCGAGTTTCCAAACTAATATATTGAAAAAAAAGTTTCGTTTTTTTAACCGCATAAGCTTTCGGTGGATAATCTTTACATTATTAATATGGTGTACTGGCATTTTGACGCCATCAAAAATTATTAATCTTTCAGAAGGGGAAAAAAGTTGATTCGGCATTTTAATTTTAAATAAAGAATTTTAATAAATATTTAAGACACATGACATATCAAACCATATCATATCAACTTCCCCAGCTGCACCAACAAAAATTCACGTTTTGGCCGGCATTACGACAGAGCTGGGATCGATCTTCATTGATTGATAATAGGATGATCTCATCGTACATCATCAAATTTCATTATAAATTTTGTTGGTAGTATTTCACAATTTTTATTCGAGAGTTAGATAATGTCGTATATAAAAGCCTCTCTCAAAAGTGCACGGGAAGCATTAGAGGCGAAAAATTGGGAATTCGCAGTAACTAACTGTGAAAATGTGCTTAAATTTGAAAATGACAATTATATGGCGTATGTATAAAGAGAGAGAGGAAGTTGTATCGATTTATATCCCTCCTTTAAAAATCCGAATGATTTTGCGAATTTATTATTATTCGTCAAATTAGACACGTGTTTCTTGGTTTAGCAAAATTAAATTTAAACCGAATTTCAGAAAGTGAACAGGCATATTTACGTGCTATCGAGATAAATCGGTCAAATCTGCTCGCCTGGCAGGTTCGTCGTAATTTCCCTTTAAAAATTTAACTCGTTTTTTTTTTTTTTTTTTTATCAAATACATGTAAAACTTTTTTTAAAATTTTTTTAGGGTCTTACAAAGTTTTATGAAAGTCAAGAGAAATGGTCGGAACTGGCAGAGACCTTGCAAGAAATATTGAACCTACATAAAGCAAGGTAATTTTTGAAATCAACTTTGCTTTTTTTAGATTTTAAATTTGAAATTAATCCTGATTTTAATTTAGCAAAGATGCCAATAAAATGATCGATACCATCAATAAATTGATTGATTTATATACAAAGCGGAAAGATCGGAAAGCAGTAGGTTCGATCAATATCTTTTGATTCAAAGATGTATTTACTATGGAAAGAAATTAACTAATCGTCCCCTTTATTTCATTAATTACCAGCTTGTATCTATTCTTGAATTTTTGTTACCAGGAAGTCCATATTATGATTCTATTAAGAAATTGGTTGATGTTCCGACACCTGTGCAGACGTTATCGAGAATAATTGAATTGTTGGATAAGGAAGAAAATGAAACTATAAACAGGGAAATTGAAACACGAAGAAAACGACTTGGTGCTGGTAGTCCGGCTGAGATCAAATCGAAAGTTTATCAGGAAGTTTATACTTCTTCTAAGGTAGAGTAGTTAATTATTTCTCTGAGTACATTATTATTTAAACTAATATCTATTATATTCATTTGAAAGCTGGAAGAATTTTACGATAAACTATTTGAATTAATCGATGATTCGAATGCTTCTCGTGTGGATATTACGAAATTATCGCAGAACTATATTGAACATCTTCAAAAGAAAATCGCTATAATCTCATTGAATGATAAACACAGGGTAGGGTTTGCTCATCTTTTGACTTGGAATCTTTTTTTTTTTTTTAAAAAAAAAAAGGTAATATTAAATACCATCTGGTTCATTTTTTTACCTACTATCATTAGATACGGGAGAAACTTTACGAGAAGTCTCAACGGCTTATCGATCGCGGATATGATTCTCCGATGCCTTATGAAATAATCATTGAAAGCACAGATGCGTCCTCCGCAGGTATATATAATACATGCGAATGCTTGTTTTATGGTTTATATGTGCTCAATCGAATTATTTTTGCTTATAAAATAGACGAGTATGATTCAACGTTATTAAAACAATATTCTGAAAATTTTCCTCATTCCGGGTTATCAAAGATCATTCAAGGTTATTTCAAATATTTGCAAGGGAAGCCAGATGAAGCATTAGATCTGTATAATGTATATTTAGCTTTATTTATTTTTATTTTTATTTATTTAAAGGAAATTGGCGAATTTGTAATAATTCTAATTTGTATTTGATTGTTAATAGGAAGGATTTGAAATGGCAGAAAATAGTTTATTTGGTCATCTTACATTAAGTTGGATTTATTATGAATCTAAAGATTATGAATTAGCTTTGGAAACTGCAAAGAACGGACGTGATGTGGTTCAAAAATATAACAAAGAATTTGGAAGCACACTTGACAGGTAAAAGTAATTATGGATGATTAGAAAATCAAATGAAATTTAAAAATTAATCTATTGATTTTTGATTCCAGGCTCATACAATCACTGCAATTGTGTATGGCAAATTGTTATTTAAATATTGATGTCAAATATTATACCGATGCATTGTCACTTTATCAAAAACTTTTAAAAGCAGACAAGAATAATATTCCGGCTCTACAAGTATGATAGCATTTGTCATCGTTTTCATATTTTTATAAATTGAATTATATATATATTTATTTTTTTTTAATTACCTTTATTAAATAATAATTTATTAGGGTGTTGGTATGGTGTTATCTGCACAAAAACAATATGATAAAGCTATTGAAATTTTCGAGAAAATACAAAAATTGGATTCATCTAATCATATTTCTATCAGTGAGATTGGATGGATAGAATTTTTACAAGAAAATTATGAAGAAGCAGCAAAATTAACTTTGAAAGCAATTGAAATGAGTAATGAAAATGCACTTTACTTCTATCGATTAGGTCGAATTTATTGGGGCATGGGTGGTAAGCATTTATTACCAATCACGTTAAGGTTATTCAACAATCGTCATCAAGATAAATTTTTTTTTCTTTTTAAAAAAAAAATCACAAAGATGAGCATCGTAACGATAAAAACCGTGCCTATGCACAGTTTGTTCGTTCGGCAAAACTCGACCCACGTTTTGCAAGTTCATTTACTTACCTTGGACATTATTATCGTCTCATTGAGAAAGATCACGTTCGTGCGAAGAAATGTTATCAAAAATCATTTTCTACTGATCCACGCGAAGAAGAGGCGGGCTTTCAATTAAGTGAATATTATCAATCCGATAGAGAATTTCAGAATGCTGAAGATCTATATCGGACAACAGTTCAAGTAAATTATAAGGCTGGATGGGCTTGGAAAAGATTAGGATTTTCGGAATTGGTAAAATCATCATATTGATAAATCCCGATAGGTTTAATATTGTTATTAATATGTCCTAATTCATAATAGGAAAATGGGAATTACTTGGAAGCGATAACGGATTTTCAAACCGCTTTAAGAACTGATTCCAAGGATATACATTGTTGGGAGGGCCTTGCAGAATCCTATCGAAGAGAAGGAAGATATACGGCTTCTATGAAAGCTTTTTTGCGCGCAATTGAATTAGATCCATCTTCGGTGTTTGCAAATTATAAGGCTGCTACCGTGAAACAAAAATTAGGCATGTATGCCGAGGCAATTGACCAGTATAATTTAACTCTTGAAAAAGCTCAAATTAAAGGTGAAGAAAATCACATGCTCTCATTAAAAGGACTTGGTGATTGTTACTTGGCTTTGACAAAAGAGTATTTTCAAGGTGGATATTATGGTAGAGCAGCTGAATCATTAGGTCATGGCCTATCGACAATTTTGCGTGCAATAAGAGTAAATAATAAAGTTCAATGTCTTTGGAAATTGGTTGGTGATCTTTGTATTGCAGCTCCGTCATTGCCAAATTATCTTGATTTAGTACCTGTCGAAATAATAGTAAACCTTGTTGAAATAGCAAGAAAAGTAGATTTAGATTTCAAATTACATCTTCCCAAAGATATTGATAATCTTGGAATCAGACTAATAACGGATACTGATTTCAGCAATTTGCGGGGTGCCGATTTACTTATAATCCTGTTAACTTGCGGGTGCCTTGCTTATAAATATGCTATCCTTTTAAGTGGTAATCGATCCGACACCGCATCTGCCCTGTGGTATGACCTCGGATTAATTTATTATAACGTGTACCAATGCATATCCGGTGATGGAAATGAAGTTGATATGTCAAATTTATTGAGCATTGCAATTCGTAGCGTTAAGATTGCACTAAAATTTGAACCAACGAATAGTAATTTTTGGAACGCACTTGGGGTTATGACTCTTATTGATGATGCAAAAATTAGTCAAAACGCCTTTATTAAGGCAATCAATTATTCTCCAATGGTAAAATTTAGTTTCGTACCTTTCCCTTTTTTTTATACTTGACTTTATTAACTCGTAATTATCAATATCACTTAATAGAATGCAACCCCTTGGACGAATTTAGGAATCTTGTACTTGTTACATTCTGATTTAGAACTTGCGAATCAAGCATTTTCAAAAGCCCATTCACTTGACCCTGATTATGTACCTGGGTGGGTCGGACAAGCTTATGTTGCCAATTTGTGGGGAAGTAGTAGTGAGGCCGTTGAATTATTTGAACATTCTTATGAGATCAGTGGCGGAGGTTACGTTGTAAGTAATTTTATTTTTCTAGAATTATTGTACCCTTATTGGCTTCGGCTTTTCTAATTGTAACTTATAGCTTGAAGCGGATTATGGTTTTGCCTCGCAAGCATTTATTCAATATAAAAATTCGTCCAAGTTACACCGATCCTCACTTATATCACCGACCTTTGCATTGTTAAAACTTACTGAGCAAAGACCTGATGACGCGGCGGCAATGAATCTTTTGGGAATATTCTATGAATGGCTTAATCAGCCTGATAAGGCGGCAGAAGCATTTTCAAACGCGACATTGGCACTTGAAAGATTAATTCAACGTGAACAACAACGGCAAGGCCTAGCTGACGAAGATCAAGTATCAAATATTCCTAATTATTTAATAAACAAACTAGCTTACGTACAAGGGAATCTTGGTCGAGTACTATGTGCAAACCATGATTTTTCTGGTTCAATATCAGCATATAATAGAACATTATCTTTGATCGAGCAGGGTAATTTGACATCGGCGGCTACATTTAAGATTTATACAATATTAGGAGTTGGCTTGTCTTATTATTTTAATAATCAATTAGAAGATTCCTTACAAATGTTTGAGATAGCTCTTAATGAAACTGATGATGCTGAACAAATAGGCGGAGGGATTGGTATTAATGAAGTACGAAAGGATGTTGTGGTCCTATTATCACAAGTGCTTTGGGCTTTGGGAGGGGTTGATCATAAAAAGTTGGCAAAAGAGGAATTATTTAGATGGTAACATATTTTTTTTTTTTTTGATTATTTTTATTGAAGGGAAATTTTTATACGAATTGGATAAATCTTCCTTAATATCAAACAATTTGTAGCATTGCACAAAACCCGAATCACCTTCCTGCTATTTTTGGATTATGTGCGATGGGCTTATTACAAGATGATGAGACATTGGCATCTGCCACTTTAAATGAAATGATAAAATTACCTATTAAAGTTATTGGTGGGAATATTTCTCTTTACTTTTTTTTTTTTTTTTTATCGATGATTTAATTTTATTTGAATATTTTAAATTGTGTGATAATCTAGATAACTTGGATAGAGAACGTGATGTCGATTTCTTATTGAGCAGATATTTCTTATTGCGGGTAATAAATCTACTTGATATTTTGGAAGCTTTTTTCTAACACGTGTCTTTCCTTTTTTATTTACAAGTCATTTCTAAACGTTTCATCCAGAATTCGCCCGAAGAAGCCACAAATACTCTCACGAAATCAGTGCATCTTAAGCCATTCGAGTTGATTGGATGGTCACGGCTCGCTAATCATCTCACATCAATTGCATCCCCATTTACGTCGGTTTCAATTGCCTCTACAGCATTAGCGTTAATATCTAATCCTCTATCAAATGCTTCCAAAAATTTGGGCACTATGACAAAAGCAAAATTGTATCAAACGTTCGTGACAGCGTTGTTGATTACCAGACAACATTTATCGAATGAGATATCAGACGAAGAAGAAAGTATTAAAGTTGAGAAAATTAAATTATGCGAGAAATTAAGATTAGAAGCTTTACGAGCTATCCAAACAGCTATTAAAATTGCTCCATGGGATCTGGTTGGATGGTCATTACTTGGGATAGCTTGTGGAAAGTAGGAATCTTGTAAATATTAATAATTTAAAATAAGTTCAATTATTTGGTATAAAACGATCATGTTTATCACGTAATTTTCCTTGGGAAAACGTAAATCAATTCTTTTAATTTTTTAATTACAAACATTAAAAGAAAAGAAAATCATGGAATGTGTGTCATTTTACTTGCTGCATTGTAATTTACTCAGGTTTCACGAAAATATTTTTAAACTTGAAACTTACGTTTTATCAAATACATCATAACTGAATATTTTGTTAACATGTAATGCATGCATGATTTATGAAAACGTGCAAAAAAGGAAAAAAAGAACGGACATGTTCCTAAAAAAAAAATTTCTTTTGTTATATTAATTATGTTTTTTCTTTTTAAGAACAAAAAAATTCATGTACGCGCATTTACGGTAACGTACAAAATTTTCTAAAATGCGCACGCGGAGAGATTATGTCATGTGACGTAATAACCAATGCATTAGTTATACATCAGACAAGGGCCGAACACCTGTGAAAACTTTAGAAATAGGTCTTTGTTCCTGCAGAGTTTTTTGATTTTCGTTATATTTATTACTTTATGTTAGGAATATGCATGTGTCAATTGGTAGGTAGCGGAAGGATATAGCGGTATCGGAACTCCAACTTTTTAAGTATTAGGTAAGCATTCTTAGCATAAATTCGGCACAAAACTTGATTGTTACTCAAGAAAATCAAAGAGTTGATCCGATAATCAAATATAAATGGTCATTAAATTTTTTTTTAAGCTTAAATATTTTGCGATTGGGGGTGAAAGGGGGTAAAAAAAAAAAAAAAACTAATTATTTATGGCGAATTCGGAAATGTCCGAGAGATCTAACTAATTCCAAATTCCGGCCCGAATATGTGTTCCAGATCAAGAAGTGATCAATAATTGCGTAATGCCGGCCAAAATTTATAAACGTGAGCCCTGATGCAAAAGTTAAAGTTTGATCGGAAATAAGTATCACATCTCATTGTGTGCTATGATGGTTTATACTGCTTATACATTGGATATGTACGTCTTTTTGAAATCTCCTTACGGTTGATACATAATGAATAAGAACGCCTCCATAAAAATAGGTCGTTTCATATTTCATGTTTCGGAATTTCTACGAACTCCGATTCCAAAAAGTCTGTTATACTTTTATTTTTTTTTCTCTGTGGATATCAATTGATAATTAATTTGGTGTTTTGGCTTTTTACGATCGTATATTGAATTATTGAATTGACCCGAAAAAAAAATAAGGCCTGACATTGTTGTTTCCACAATGTGAAATGCATTGTTATAAAAAAAAAAAAGGGTTCCCACTTACGTATAATGGATTTCTTTATAGGTACTCAATCACATTTACTATTTTAGACAAATCGTTGACTCCTTTTGGGCGAAATCAAATTCATAAAATCGTGCAGGTTATTGGCCGAACCTTAAATTAGAGTTTCACGTCAATCTGGACATTCATTAATTCTTTTTCGGTATCATTTTTCTCATTACCTATTTGATAAATATGAAACATGATGATGATTAGGTGATAATGGAAACATGTCCCTTAAAGGTAGTCATTGTTCGAATTCTTGATTACGGTCGTACGGTGATCAGCATGTTTCAAATGTGCTACTAAAAAAAGATTATCAAAAGTAGGGAATAAAAAAAATTAATCCAAATAAAGAATTCTCATTACCAAATGTGACCTTTGTTATGAAATTCCTACTTTGTCGTTTTTTTTTTTTCTTTTTTTCTTTTTTAAGTCGGATGTTCCTAAAGTTATATTGGACAAAAAAGGGCAAACTGGTTTTTCTTGTTTATGAAATTTTTGAAACAAAATCGAATTATGTATTATGTTGGTTAATATTTTTCTCCCAAAAGGAAAGTTGATATAATCTATAAATGGTTAGATTGATTTTTGATATGAACCCCGAATATGATATCACAGTAGATGGGATAATTTGACGAACTGAAACAATAAAATTTCTCTAATTATAGATAATGCAATGGATGGAAAAGGAATACTGCAGATAAGCCCCCCTTATTTTTTTACCTCTTTAGGTCACAAAATAATAAATTTTATTATGCATAAAATTACATTAAAATTATATAAATTATCGAATTTTCTTGAATCTTTGTAAAAATTTTATCACGGCAAAAAAAAAAAAAAAAAGGGTGTCAGTGTCCATTGTAAAATCTTTTCGGAATCGATATTCCGTGAATTTAATTGTCACATGGTCATTTAAAACACAGAAAATTACATGGTACAGCCCTGAAAAAAAAATTTTAATTCTCCTGCTTTTTTGCTTTTTACCATAAATAAGTTAGGATTTCATTGAAACAAAAAAAAATAAAAAAAAAAAAAGATAAAAAGATAAATATATATATATATATACATAATTAAATAAACAAATAAAATTAAAAATAAATAGACAGGCAAACAAAAAAAAAAAAAAAATCAAATTTTTTTTTTTTTTTTTTTTTTTTTACCACACCACATTTCTTCCCTCCTCTCTCTTTCATACCAAGTATCGGGTATACATGTATGAAGGCATAAATAACAATGAGACCAGCTACTCAATTTATAAGAACGAAAAGTCACAAATGTTTCTTCTCATATCCATATAACATGACGACCTTTCAAACCGGTTACCTTGGCATAGGACCTTCGAAAATCTCTGGAGGTTTCCATCTACGTTATCCTGCTTCGAATCCCATTGACGTTGCAAGAATTGAAGCTACCTTGGTTGGTCAAGAATGTTTATCCAACATAGCTCAAGACGACTTGAAGAATACAAAGAATACATTTTATTCTCAAACTCAATGTATTTATCAATCTATTACACCCTCAACCGGCTCTAGAGTTTCCTTAACCCCGATAACCTCGCTTGATTTAAGTTTTGAATTCCACCTTGACGATGATATCCCTCCTTCCTATTCTTCCGTTTCGCAAGATTCCGTACTTGACCACGAGATGATTAGATACAAGGTGAAAATCACTATATTTCGTAAACGTAATTATTTGAAATTACAAGGGAAGAATAAAAAAATTTCGATAGAATGTCAAATTGAACGGTATAGCCTTCCTTCCGTATTGAAATCAACAAGTCAAGTCTCATTGCATCGGTCTGAAACAAATAAGCAAATTTCCAATCCTTTGTTAGACGCAATTAGGTATAAAGCTACGTTGTCCTCCCAATACATTGATATGAACAGCATTATGGTCATACCATTGACCTTAATCTTACCTAATCCGCTTATGAAGATCAAAGAAATTGACGTTGTCATTAAAGAACGTCAAAGGTTCAAAAATTCAGACAAGGATACCATTTACTTTAAGGCATCGAACAAAATATTAGAATATAAATTATCGGGTGATTGTATTGAGCTCGTTGATGAAAACATTAATGAGTACTTTGCTGAAATGAAAATGGATGTTCCACGTTTTGAGAGTGTTTGTAGATTTCAGGCGCATGAAGGTGTTAGACCTTTGAAATACTTCAAGGTTAAACATATTTTAAAGATCAAAATCAAATTCGCCAATGGGGATCAATTTGTATTAGAAGAATTCGTTTGGTTGCAAAGATCATTAAGTGAAAGGAAAATTTTCAAAGGAAGAGAGAGGGGTTACATCAATTAAATTGAAATACATCTAGAATAATTATTGTATATATATTTTCACATAAGACAATGGATTTTTTTTTATTAAATATTTTATATAAAGAAAAAAAAAAAATATAAGTCGAAAACAAAAAAAAAAATTTTTTTAATAAATAGCGACGGTTTGACGCCATAGAATCTCTCATATTAAAAACCGGATTTAAAAAATTAAGCTACGATATTTTTCCGGTAAATTGAAACAACACAACCCTTGGTCAAACATTAAAAAGCTTAATAAGCTTAATAAAATTCGTTGAATGGTATACCAAATAAGGAAACTTGATTTCGAGATTAGGATTCATAATATTCGATATCTAGATTAATACAAAACCGTAAGGATCTAAAATCGTTTGATGCAGTTAATTAGGCGCCCGAACATTTTTAAATTTAGTAAATTATGTAATTAAAAAAAAAATTTCTTCAAACTATGTACAATACATGTATATGCTTTATTATATCAATAAATTTATTAATTATATTAAAAATTTCAACATAATCGGGTATTGGTAAACTTTAATAATTTTGGAATCAAAATAAGGTCTGTGCGACGCAAGTTTAACTCATAATATCTGATATAACCCCAAATTTCGTGTATTTCTCTTTTTTTTTTTTTTTTTTTTTTTTTTTCAAACGTTATTACAGTAACCTTAAGATGCATATGACACTTACTACTTCACTCTGTCCATATGGATTGGGGAGGATTATCATCCGAATTACCCGAAACGTCAACCTATCGATACGTTTTCTCTGAGATAGATTTTTATTTCCCGAGATAAAGCAATTTCCCCCTTGATTAGACGGCTTAAGACCATCTAAGTAACTCATTCATTTACGTAATTTTTTTTTTTTATATATATCAAAAAATTTGTCATTTATTGCTATAATTAAAATATTTTACTTTTTATAATTAAATTTACATTAATTATTATTATTTTATAATTAATTTACATTAATTATTACTATTATTACTATTTAATTTGTAATTAAAGTTTTATAGCGACGCAAGATTATAAACCTTTTCCCTCTGATATTACAGAGCTCACAATAATTGAATTCACAAAATTTGGTTTAAATGAACTATCCTAACTTCCTAATCTTTATCTAAGAAAACTCACGCGGGAAAATTGTGTGATTTATTGATACAACCTTTTGTATTAAGATCTTATTTGCAATTCTTGCACCTCGTCTTGCAACCCACTTCATTCAAATGTTTCCTACAGTTTTTACAGATTGTAAGACAACAAGTTTCCCCAGATTTGTGTCTGCACCCATCGTAAATTTTACGCATCCGCATTAACATCTTCCCTTGTTGCAGCACTTCCAGTATCCAGGTATGTGTTTTGATCTTTTAGGTTTAATTCCCCCAAAAGTAAAGACACGAGTGGTCCAAGCTTCGGGACTATGGTCAGACACTTTTCTAGTTGTAGCTCCAACATAGAGATCTGAATGCTTTTGAAAATGTGAAGCAGGATGTATATCTATAACGTTTCCTTGATGCACAAGCTCTGTATCAGGGTGAAATGATTCTGAATCCAAATGACACTTTGGCGATGCAAACCTCGGATCGGTTTCTTCGGGACATTTCAAACACTTGACTCTTCTAATTTCGAGAAGTATTGGACGCTCGACATGTCCTTTCATTAACGATTCATATCTTGCAACGATTCGGTCCGGTTCCGATTCTTTAAAAACACTAAACTCATTTAATTGATCACTTTGAGAATTGCAACCTTCGATAAACACTATTAGATGGTAAACTTTCAAATAGTAAAATCTTAAATTCGCCGGTTCTTGAAAGCGAGGTAGCCATTTCTCTGGCAGCATCACGAGGACCAGCACTATTCGTGTCACTGGCACCTTTAATTACGATGATGGTATTGTCCCACGCATTACCGGTGTAGTATTTCGTCAAAGTTTCTATAAACTTTGCTTGACGTTTATATGAAGCTTTCGCTCTGTCATCAGGTGCCACGAACCACAAGATTGTTGTGATATTTTCAATTCCCTCTTCCATCATCTTAAAAAAAATCGAACGCTTAATTTTCTCATCGTTCGTGTTTTCGTGAGAAGCATCTAACCCAGGTGTATCAATGTAGAAACCTCCGTCTTTAATATTATAAATCGTAACTTCATTTATTTCGGAGTTGGTGGAACGCCCGATTTTCACATTTTTCGCCCCAAAAAAGGTTGCAGTAAAACTCTTCCCTGTGCCTGTATTTCCAATAGCAAAAATGCATCGTGATGGCTAATACATACACATCGAATATGAGTATTAAATTCTTACCTAAGTACTTAATAAAAAAAATGATAATGTCCATACTTAAGTTTGGCATATTTATATGTTCGTTGATATCAAAAGGTTGGATATTCAAAAAAATCTTTGGTGGGAAAAAAAAATGGTTTTGAAATGAACATTCTTTTTTTCAAATGATATAATTTTTCGAATGATAAGGTATTATTGAAATAAGACGAAACTGGAATAAATGATGATACCATTTCGTTTTCATGACAATATTTCGTCACACTAAAAATATAAACTAAGCCAAAATAAAATCAGCTTAATCTGAAGGCTATTAAAAACATTGTAGAACATAATCCGTAACTGAGATTTTTTTTTTAATAGTATTATTTCAAAATCGTGGTAAATTAAATATAAGATTGACCAAAAATAAACTAAAGTTAGAGTTATTCCCTACATTAGAGAATGAAGACTTTGACATTGCTCCTTTTCTATCACCAAATGATTGCGTTATTCGCAACAGTTAAAAAACCTTCATTACAACAACTCAAAGAGCTCCTAGGCGTTTCTAACATTGATGACAGGCTTTACATCTCGGCAATATGGAATATACAACCTTATTGAACATGAATTCTGTATATTAAAGTTATTATCCCTTTTGACTTTTATAACCAAGTTCAACATATTCTCCACAACAAAACTTTCACTTTATCACTTGTTGATGGTTTACCACCACGTATTCAAGACGTAATTTCAATTTGAAAAGAGCGATGCTCCATTGGTTTTCTTCTTCATCTCCTAATTTTTATGTTCTCTCCACTTTTGTTTTCATCTATCAGTTTCAGTAAATCTTGGGAATCAGTAGTAACCAGACCCCCTATAATGGATGCTTAAATTTGTTTTTGGCTAGACTGGCTTTGATCAATTTTTAGAGGAAACTCAGTCACATATTTCATTAAGATTAAATAGATTTTATATAAATTTACGTTAAAAAATCTTCACATAGTAGTTTTATATAAGCTGTTATAAATTAAATTTACAATGTATTTTCATTTATATAAACATTTATTTACCAATATTTTTAATGAGAATACCATTTAGCATCTTCAATAAATTCAGTTTCTTCGGCCTTATTATTATTAAAAATTTGAATAATGATTTAAAAAAATTTTTTTTATATAGGAAAAATCATACAAAATAAATACAAAATATTTGTATTTTTTGGATGAGATTTTGTTTTAATTTTTAGAATAAATCATATGATAATACTAACTTTTATTTCATTTAAACTAATAGACTATTAGTATTAGAATTTCAAATAGGTTAGTTTAAATCAAGTCAATCAAGTTACCTGAACTGAGAGAATTAGGTCAGGTCAAATAAAAATCTGATCTGATTTTAATTTTAATTTGATCTAACCTGACCGAATTGTTCTAATTGAATAATAAACTATTATTTAAAAATGATAATAAATTGTTCTAATTAAGAATAAAACATCTTTTAAAAATAATAAAACTATCGTTCAAGAATAATAAAACATTATTTGGGAGGTTTGCTATTAAAATCAAGTTACCAACATAGTAAATCATATGATCTGTAACATGATTTTAATAGCTTACCTCCCATTTATAAATGATAAAACTATTATTTAAGAATGATAAAACTATTGTTCGAAAATGATAAAATAACTATTCAAGAATAATAAAATCATTATTTAAGAATAATAATGAATTATTCAATTGAACAATAAATATTATTCACAAATAATAAAATTATCATTTATGAATGATAAACTATTATTTAAGAATGATAAAAATATTATACAAATCATTTTAATTGAACGATAAATTAATAACGATAAAATTATTGTTTAAAAATAATAATAAATTAATTAATTAAACAATAAAATATTGTTTATGAATGATAAAACTATCATTCAAGAATGATTAGTTGGTCTGAATTTTATCAAGTCAGATCAAATCAATCAATTTATTGATCTAATCTAACATTAATCTGAAAATCTACTGATCTAATCTGAATTTTCAGGTTAAGTCAAGTCACATAAATAGATCATCCTGATCTGATTTAAAGTTCTAATTAGTAACAATATTACAAAACAATCTTAAGTTAATTTTTATATCTTTGAATATTTATATTTTTTAATAAAATTTATTTTATCATTACAGTCTCTGGTGAAAAGAATAGCAGTGGAAGACTGCATCTATTTTAGGTTGCAGTTTCACTACTTTCCAGATTAGGCATTTATTTATATGCTCAAATCAGACATTGGAACTTGAATTAAAAGGTAAATTAAAAAAATAAGGTTTGTTATTTGTTTTTATTTTGATTTTCTTTCCGAAACTATGCCAAGCTCTTTAAAAATACATAGAAATTCTGTTAAGTTACTTTAGGACTAAAAAGTGCGTAATGCAAAGAAAATTTCTAATCAATTATACATTCCTTTACACACATGTGAATGATATATCAGTTTACTAAATAAAACTGGCAAAATTTCTATTGGTAACTCTTCTGACCATCTAAGAAAATTGGCTTCAAATCAATGTCGCTATATTGAAAAAATTCTGTAACATAATTATTTTACTACAGCAGGCGAACTTAAGACAAAATTGGAAGAAAAAGATTCTAACCTTGATGTCAATAAACGTATAATATGTCATGAGCTCAACAATCTTAGATATATTTCTGTTCTTTCAAGAAAAGTTTCTCTCTTGACCAAAAAAGCAAAAGAATTTCATTTGTCTTGGGCACGTGATCATTCATGATACAACTGGAAAAAAGTTGTTTTTTCTAATGCAATAACACTTCAGATGTTTAGAAATACCATATGTGCATAGTCTTATAATGCAGAACCAATTGTCCCTATAGTAAAGTATCCATTCAAGATTCATGTTTGGGCAGCGATTAGTACTAATAGAAAAATCAGCATTTATTTGTTTACTGAAAATTTGGATCATCATTTGTATCAAAAAATCTTAGATAACCATTTGTATAACAACACGAATATGTTATACAGACGCGACTGGGTCTTCTAACAAGATAATGACCTAAAACACACCTCACACAATATTTAAGGAAACTTAAAAAAACATCTTTCAAGATGAGTTCTTTCTTGGCCTTCATACAGCCTAGACTTAACCCTATTGAAAATATATGGGTTGTATTAAAGGGAAAGGTGGAGAAAAAGATCAAGTATTTAGTAGTAAAAAAAAACATTACCTGCGATATATTCCTTAATACAATCTGGCAGGAATAGGACAATCTTGATGACTCCATGTTACTTTAGTGCATTAAGAGTATGCTAAGCCAGGTTAAAGTATGTATCAATGCATAAGGAGGACACACCAAATATTAATTAATAATATAAAAGTTATCGTTAGTATTGTTTTTATAAATAATAATAAAAAAAAATACATTAAAATAAAGTTTGTATATACTGTCAAAATATGTTTTTGCCATTCTTTTCGTCAGAAACTGTATAAGAAATAGATGATAAATTTTTTTAATATTTTCAATCATTTTTATTTTATTTTTATAAATATAATTTTTTATTATTTATCTGTTTTTGATTTATCTATAATTTTATGAATAAATCATTAACCAATATAAAATAAAATTTCAAAAAATATTATAACAAATTCTTATTATAATAGATTTAAAATATAATAAATAATTATTAAAATAAGGGTTTATAATATAATTAAAAATATTATTTTTATATAAAACTAATTTTAGCTAATAAAGTAAAATTATATTTTTTATTTATCACTAATAGTAATAATTACTAATATATTATAATTATAATTAGTTAAAATTAAATTAATTTACTCATATAATTTTAATAACAAAATTAATATTTTATTAAATAAAATAATTTTTAATATTATATTTTAAAGGAAATTATTTTAAGTATAGTAAAAATATATAATACAATAAGAAGGAAATTAAGAAAATAAAATAAAATTACTCTAAAAAAAATAATTTAGCTAAAATAGTTTAGTTTAAAAGAATACTTAAAATAAAATAAATAATTATATAATTAGTTTAACAAGTTATTTTATAAAATAATATTATTATTAATTATAAAAGAGACATAATAGGCTTAGATTAAAGATATTAAAAGAGAGTTAAAAAGATATAATAAGCTTAGATTAAAGATACAAAAAAGGAATGAAAAAAAGAAATATGAAATAACAAATAAAAATAAGAATAGGAATAAGAAGTAAAAGAAAAAAAAATATATAAATGCAAAAAAAAAAGAAGTAAAATTATTAGACTAATATAAATAATTATAATTTTTAGATTATTTTTTTTTTAATATAAATCCTTATTAATCATAAATAAGATAAATTTTTTATTTTCATATTTTTTATAAAAATTAGAATTCATATTGGAAAAGTTTTTTTAATATTAAAATAACTTATAAAATAATTTAAAAGAAATCATGATTAGATTTTTATTAAACTTATAAATAATCTATACAAGTATTATCTTATTATTTTTTTTTTACAAATATTTCTTTTATAATATATTTGTATTTAATAGATTTTATTAGTTTCAATTTTATTTTATATTAATAACAATTATTATAATAATTAATATTTATATTTCTTATACTTACTAAAATATACCTGTTAAATTATATCTATCTAAATATATTTATAAATAAATTTATCTAACTAATTTTTTAGCTACATTATATTTATTAAACTATACTTATACAATTATAATTTTTTATTTATATTACTTGTATTTACTAATTTTTTAAATAATGTTACATATTTTATATTAAATATTATTCTTTTCTATTAATGATTTATAATATTTTGAAAATTTATTATAATATTTTAAATTTAATATATTTAATATATTATTATTAATTATTAATATATTTAATAGTTTAATAGTTATTATAAAAATTTTTTAAATTTATTAATATTTTAATTTTAAAGTAAATTTATTCATTGCAGACATGATATCATCACTCTTTTTGCCACCTGTATTATACTTCCTCTCTTTTTCATTTTTTCATATATATTCTGGAGACTTAGAAATTTTTTATACGTAAAACTCTATTTGTTACATATGTTAGTGTCATATAGTTTAGAGTTAGGTTAGTATTAGGGTTAAGGTAAAGTATATATATAAAGGTAATATATAAGAAGTATCACCTCCTGCGATGAATAAATTTACTCTTAATTTTATAATATTATATTTATATTTTATTATAAACATTAGTTCTTCTATTATATCTTTTATTATTTAAATTATAAAATTTCATAAATAAATTTATCTGCTAATTTACTATAATTTTTTTTTTTGATTTATTTTTATAAAAAATTAAAATTAAAATTTTTTTTAAATTAATTTTATAAATATATAGTAAATAATATCAAAGTAACTTTTATTACCGTATTCTTCTGAAAATAAGCAATCTATTTTTACTATAGTGTTGCTTATTTT